TTTGATAAAGAAACTTAATTGAAAACAAGATAGTTTTAAATTACACTAATTTAAGCTAGTAAACTTGTTCTACTAAATATACTGTAAATTAAATTAGTGTTTAATAAGACAGATTATTAAACTTAAACAATTTTATTTCGGAATTTGAGGGTAGGTGTTTTAGAATTGCATTGACAACGTAACTTTTAAAAGGTACTATCCAAACATTTCGTAGAGCAATTTGTTTAAACTAGGCATAATGGGCGTGTTCGGCCGAAGTAAGTACTTACTAAACTTAGTAAGCCAGTAAGCATAAAAAAATTAAAGTCTTACAAGCTGACTGTAGCGCTTTTCGGCCAGGACAGACTTACTGGCTTATTAACATAACACAAAACACCGGTTTATGTCATATCCCGTACATAACCTCATAGACTGAATATAATTGACAGTACTAAATTTAGGAATATAATTTAATACCTGTGAATAGTTTCAAATGGATAATTTTATGAGAAATATTTTATTGGATATTTTATTGTCCGTTTTGTTTACATCAACAATAAGCAAAATGGCGTCGTATATTAAGCCATACTTACTGCGTTAGCACTTATTTTGTGTCCCGGCCGAAAATTTTGTAAGCATAGTAAGTGACTTACTAAATTTAGTAAGTACTTACTTCGGCCGAACACGCCCATTGTTAACCGTATAAAGACAGCTCCAGATCTACTAAGTGATTGTTGTCCTGATAGAAATGGCTTCGAGAGATAGAATAAAGACTTACAGTTTGTTCAGGCAAATTCCACACGGCGTCTCCTGTCAACGTATTAAAGAAGTATGGTCTTCCTGAGTATCTTTTAGAATGACAAACCAACCATTCACAAGTTTGGGATGCATCAGTATTCATTTTGTATTAAGGGAAGAGAAACAAATACATACTATTCTTAGTTCATACTTCACAAATTTGTGATATTTTTTTTTTTTTTAATGGCTCTGGCACGGTTTGTGCATTAGCCAGCGTCAAGTATGAGATTTTTATAATTCGTGCTTTTTGCCTTAGAAATTCGATCATGTCCTCCATGTACAGTTTAGGCACTCCCAAAGGCCGAGAACAAATTTAAATTAAATTAAAACTTGCCCTCGAACTGGGAATCGAACCCGGTACCCCTCACCTAGCTGCCACTTTGGTGCGTTCCACTAAGCGCTCACGACGATCAAAATGCTCCTTTAGCCATTCCACATACCGACCGCGGTCGTTGTGGTCACGGCGAAAACGTCACTCATGACGTCATGACAAATGCTCACGCAACGCTCACAACGACCCATCTAAAGAGGTGGGTCGTTGTGAACGTTGAGAATAATTTGGCGCAATTATTGAAATATGACAAATAATAATATTATTATATTCAAAGCTTAAAGATGGCGACAAGAAAAATCACATTATTTGATTCAGAAAGAGAAATTGTAAAGCCATTTCGATTATATTTAAACTTAAGTTGTTTGATAACTTCACCAAAATTATTTATAAAATATTCAATTATTCTTCACTTTTAACATAAATAAATTTAAGTCACAAATATCAAAACTTATTGTTTATGATTACCTAACCTCCTTAAAATTCTACTATTTTCAAACTTGACATTTGTAATATTTACATGAACGCCCGAAACGCTCCATAATCCATTCCACTTGAGTTAACGACAGTAACATTCACAATCAAGTGGAATGGGGAAATCAGCGGTCGTGAGCGTGATCGTCGTGAGCGCTTAGTGGAACGCACCATTAATAAGACCGCTAGGCTATGAGGCTCCCCTTGTGATCATTTGTTGTGGTAATTGTGCACCAGATAAATTCAATACTCGCCCTCTTACGCCCTCTTAAGTTCAGCTCCTAAACTACAACGACTACAACATAATGTAATTATGTTTGTGTTAATGATATATCTCTTAAGGTGCGTACAGACTATATAACATAACATGTTATACAACATGTTTCAGATAATGTGGACACTGAATGTTATAAAACATGTTATAATAACATGTTGTTGATATGTATGCTAGGACGAACCCAGCATCTACGTTTTTTTGTTTTTCTTTTGTTATTTAAAATTACAACAGTCGCTGCCGCAGCCAGCAAAACGTCCTCTCGTGTCGACATTGTGGATAGCACTGGAGACCAGTGTTCACAACCTGAAGCCAGGCAGTTATCGTACCAGGGCCGTAAAATTATCGTATATGTGATCCATATACGATAAATTATCGTACAGTCAGGAAAATGGCTAAAAATACTTTAAAAAATCATATGAAACGTGAAAATAAAATGTTGCAAACGATTTATAGTTTAAATCTTGTAAACTTGTGTTTTTCAAATTGAAAAAAATAATAATAGTTCAATCTCTTCCGTCAAAGAGGAACAAAAATACGCAATATTTTCTCGTTCATTTTACATCGCATATTATTTTTATCACTTAAAATTCGTTCGGTATTAAAATGTTATCGAAGACTTCCAAATCTGCGTCACCATACAAATCGTGAATTTTTGGCTGTGCATTCTGATGCGTTTTTGTGTTTGTACATTAACGCTTTGTTCATCTGCTGTAGTTGCCTTGTGACAGCATAAGTTCCTAATAGAAAAATAAGCCAATAGATGGCACTGACACTAAAAACTGTAATTGTTATTGGGCTATCTGTGTAATCATCAAATTTTTTATCAGACTGGAAATTATCGTACAATCTGCGTACGATAGTCATGTACCATCGTACATCGTACGTAGTTATGAAATTATCGCAAATGTACGATAATTATCGTACGGTTGTGAACCCTGCTGGAGACTGGAGAGTGGAGAGTGGAGAACGACAAACGACAATAGTTATATAACATTGTTATATTGCATTGTTATTCTAATGTGTACAGTATTGTTTTATGTTATAATATTGTAATAAGCACTAATTATTATGCATTCATTTTAGGTTTACCTCAAGTTTATAGATATTTGAAAAAGACTGCAATCCCAACTGTTTTCGCCTGGAAGAAACCCACTACAAGTATCTTAATAATATAATTTTAGGGGCAGCCAAGTCATTACATATTTGGCCTAGTCGTTCACTGGTTGATGACAGGTGGCAGATTTATTTAAGCAATATCATCCAGCTACCAGAGTGATAATTAATAGGTAGTACAGAAATACCCATATCAAAACCAAAAAACGCAACAGCACAACAAGCAACTTTAAGTAGCTACGAACACCACAACAGTCAACACTATAAAATTCTTGGTGGGCGCTACACCTGGTGGCCTGATATCGTTATTTTTAAGATGGACATGCAGGATTTACCAGTGACCGCCAAATAACTGAAAAAAGTTCCCTTTTAGCTGTTAGGGATGAAAAATATGCAATAATGGCTGACCTTGTATTCAATTGTGTTATGCTATGTTATTTTAAAGAAGGAATTGTAAAATAAAAGTACAAAGTAATGAGTGGCTTTTATTGTTTCAAAGTAATTCTTATAAATATATTTATTAAGTAGGGCCTTTTTAAATATACCACATAAAATTTGTCCAATACTTGGAACATATTATGATTGATAAAATTCTTCATCCTTTTCGCATAATGCTGAAGCTTAATTGGAACGTGAATTAGTTTTCAAATGCATCAGCAGAGTGCGCTAAGTCAGTGTTGAAAAAAAATGTTCTGAATAGAGTTAGCAACCTCATTAATGTATAAATAATGTGGTTAACAATAATAATTGGTTGAAAACTTTTTACGCTTATTTTAATAATCAAATTATTTCATTAACATTTTTTTACTGAAATAAGAGAAAACCTTTAAAGAATAAAAGGTTTTAACAAGCTAAATTAACAGTAATATATATAGTTTCATGTAAGAAGTTTACATCATTTACGTTTTGAGTAATTTTTTTAAAATGATTTCTAAAAAAATTATATACCTTTTCAAAACCATTGCAATATTTACAAAAGTATAATCCTGTAAAATAAATTTGTTTACAGATCCGAATTTTAAAATAAAATTGTATTCATATTTTAAATGTGCAATATAAAAAAAGTAACTATTATTTATTATTTAATATTATACCTTCATCCATACTTATATTTTTTTTTGCAGTTTGAAATAACTTTCATTATTTTCAAAATTTACGACGAAACGAAAGCCTTACAAATTTTCAACAATAAATAATATTTACTAACGAAAATTTCGATAAATGCCAACTTAATGAAAAACACTGGTCAATTTTCTGTCACTGTGTTGGTTATTGTGTAGTTTATTGCGAGAAGCACGCGAGAGCATTAGTTTTGAGAGTGCTCAATTGTGCGAAGCGTTGCTGTAGTTGGAACATTCAACGTTGAGCATTACAGTTTGCAGAGCATGGTAATTTTAAGCAAGCTTATTAGCATGCTTTTTTGAGCACGTCTGTCAGTACCTTTATGCCGCATAATGCGCTCTAGTGCTGTAATTGGAAAACGCACAAGAGCAGACATAGGACCATACTCTTTGAATTAATCATTTCACACAGTTAACAATTATGCTGCTTTGATCTGTGTCTGTTAAAAAGACATATCAATTATTGTATCAACTTACAACTATCAAGTGACATATCACGATAAAACTCAGTTAATGAAAAAAAAATCATATTTCTGTATGTTTTGATACATTGGAAATATTGTAACATTTAATTAATCATTTTTAAAATCGTAACATATATTTCATAAGGTACTTTACAATACGTTTTCAATCGATTTGTAAAATGGATCTATGCGGAACGTCTTTTTACGAAATTATATCTTAAGCAAGTTTTATGCTAAAATCGTGAGCAAGTTGAAGAAAAGGTGGGGCTCAAACTAGCTCACTAGCACCTAAATATTGGTACAACATTTTTAATATTCCGACCTTTTGTCGAAATGGAAGATAAACGCGTGCTCATTTCTTATATTTTTAAAGGAATGACTTAAGATTGGATATTAGTGTTTGCTGTTCTTATATACTATGATTATCACTTAAGAACTGTGTTATGTATACTTTGATAGAAATCCTTTTGGGCCTTGGAGTGCTTGGCACTCTGGTGACAGTCATATCTGCATGTGTTTGTGGTTGCAGAAATTCCAATCAGAAGTAAGTACTATTATTATGTTCCAACTTTACTAAGTTATTTAAAGAGTTGTATTAGTCATATGTTTTTGTATCATTGAATTAATTACATACCAGGTATGTAACCTAGTCATTTGCCCAATTTTAAATAAAGCAAAATATGTAAAATATGAATTTGAAATCTAAACAATCCATTTTTTAACAGAAGTGAGTTGGTTGGCACAGCGGGAGTGGTCAAAATTCATTTGGATGAGGAGGCTCCATCCCCAACGCCAACCACTCCAGCTTCTATTAAGCGGTTTGTCTCAATTTCCGCATGCCCTTACCCTGAATTTTAACTTTTTGAGGGCTAACATAGATGTTAAATGTAGTATTAACATATAATAGAAAATTTGGCTTTAATTGTATACTAGAATGTTAGATTTCTACTTTGGGGAAAGCACCAGTGAAGTATATGCCAGTATGCCAAAATTCTATTGTTAATATTCAGTATTCAAAGGAATTTATTGTGTGCTTCTCTGGTGGTCTTCCTTTACTAATATAAATATCTTGTATTACGCTTTTTGGGTTATTTAAAAATGTAGATTATTTTAATAATTTGAAAAAATTAACATATTTATATATTTGAAAATAATGCATGGTACAGAATTATAAAAAACTTGATGATTACTTGTTGATTAATCTGTTACAGTCAAACTGTTATTTACTGTCCTTATTTCTGTCTTTGGATTTTACATACTAATGATGAACAAATTAACATTGTCATAAGTGTCTTTCAAATTATGCTTTTAATGAAACCTAAAAATACAATTTCCATGTAATAATAGATTCTCATATTAAAAATTATTTTGTAGAGCCTCTACTCAAAATAGTCAGCGAAGTTTACCAGAAATACCACATCCAGTTGGCAGACATGATAGTGGAGATACGGCTTCAGAAATTTATGCAACAGTTAATTTGGATGAAGGTAAATATATTGTGTATTGGGGCAACAATAATAAACATTTTATTTAATGTCTAAACTATATGAATACCTACTACCTATAAAAAAAAATAACATGATGTTGGTAGTTACATGACATTAAGTGAAACCAAGTAGGCTGTTTATATACTACATATACACCCGAGTACAGTATATATATATATATACTATGTGCCCATCATCATGAGAGCTTTATTAATTTATAATACTTTTCTTCAATAGTGCCCTTAAGGGGTTCACTTAAATTATTAAAATGGATACACTTATTTCAAGTGGATATCAATTCGAATATCGCTCATTGAATAAAATATGAATTCAAAAATCGTGTGGATAGGATTATTTATTGGACGTATTTGAATACGACGTATTTTCGTCATGTCATTTGAAGTGTACTCGAATGATACACGCCCGCATTCCAAAGTGAAGACTCGGCGAAACTTGCGTTATCATAAATCTTCAGTCACTTGTGCCTTTTCTGAAGTTTGAACTAATTTTTATAAGCCGAAGAACGTGAAGGGCTTTTAGAATTGTAACGCCTTGGATTAAAACATATTTGTAGTTTCTCTAAAAAGGGATTTTCTATGTTTCATTAAGAGCAATGCCGAAAGCATGCCATGATAAACCTTTTCCACGTCGTCACTTAAGGATTTTATTTATACGAGGACGGGTTTTAGCTCCTCTTTTACTGTATTAATTATGAATTTGTTTTTTCATCATGCATTGAACATCCCAGTGCCGTAGCTTCTAGTTATATCCAGCCTTAGATGCTTCAGGAATGTCAGCGGATCAATATTAATATGTTATATTTTCCTTCAGCTTTTCTATTAGAATAGTAATAATAGGCTTTATTATGTAAATGTACCGAGACTAAGACCTCGATACCTCGGTACATAGCCTAAAGCTTTCCTGCCACGTTCAACAAAGACTATTTAGCGTTATACACCCTCAATTTAAAAGATATATGCGACATTCTGTCATCAATTACGAAATGCATTCTCAGGAAATATAGTGACTAAACATGATTTTTTACTTAATAATAATTACAGACAATGATACATTGATATTATTATTAATCATTTTAGTATTTCGAATTATTAACACGTAGATCCGGCTTACAACGCTTTTTTGGGTGAGTATTTACGACATACAAGCTCGAAGAAAATTGTATTGGGTTTTGATTCTTAGCTATTTCTTTTTGTTTTAAAACAAAACATACTTGACTTCAAAACGTATCAATCTAGTGATTGAAGAAATGTTGAAGATATATTCTGCCGAGTGTTTTAATGTTACCTACACCGCAACCGTAGTGATTGATTGCGATCACGATATCGATCAATGATAAGCTGATAATTATCAATTAATGGATTCATTAAAGATCCGACAGGTTTTATTCGATAGGAATCTATAATTATGATGGTAGCAATTAGCAAAAAATAACTTTATCTATAAATTATTGCAGCGAACAAGGTCGCTGCAACGACGTCAAGAGATCACCCATACGAGCATGCCTACGCCAAACTGCAAAATGAAAGCCATAATATGTAAGCATTCCTGCAATATTTGTTTAAATTATCCATAGGTAGTTTTCGCCATGCCTTGTTGTCCGCATGAATCTAGGTACTAATGTACATAATTAAAAGCTTCTGTCAAAATGTTTATTTGCATCAGCTCGTAACATTCCATATATGGAGATAATGCTAATTTAATAAACCTGAAAAACTTGTGTATACTTTAAGAACTTTTTGCTTCGTATCTAAACGTGAATTCGTTAAAAATATATCAGCAACGTTATATGTATTTATAAGTTATAACGATCGTTCATATTATCGAGATCCTATCACTTATCGCAAGACCTTTAATATAAGGTCGTCTGAGAGGCGACACGACATATCGTGACAAGAAAGATATTTTTGGTATTTGTTGCGCATTGTACTATTAGAAAATAGCTCCGAAATATCCTAGACATGTGCTGACTGTTTGAGATTGTACTATGTATATTAAAACACACCGTAGCACGATGTCTACAGACGCATCCTGGGGGTCTAGACAAGATGGCTTAACAGTAGTGTATGTAGACAGTCGAAAACTAAATTTGTATGGAAATGACAGTTCGTGTCGAAAAGTTTTAATACAAATTTTGTTTTTGACTTTCTACATACACTACTGTTAAGGCATCTTGACTGAGGCTGTTGAAACGGGTCAGTCACTAGCTTATTTAAGATTTTGTTGGTTCCGGGGTCCGCGGAAAGCCTTAATGAAGCTTATTAAGCATAAGCTAGGTTAGCCTGTAATTAAGTCTGCACCTATGCAGACTAATCTGTTGGTGGACCTGTATTACATAATGGACTAATAAGCCACTAAGATTTAGAGTCCCCCAGAGACTCTACGGAATCTACGAGACTCTTAAATCGGGCTAAGTTTTAAAATACGTAAAACCACCTTGGGAACTTGTCGCAGGCATACTTAATGTGCTGGTATATTGGTAAAGACAAGTTGAATATGTGAGTTAAATACGTGGAGCTATCCGAACCAATTAGGTGAGCGTCTGGGAGTTAAAATTTTTGTTCTGTGTTTAAGAAAAAGTCACGAACAAAACTATAATTGTGGACAGCGTCTTCGGCCTATGAGATCAAAAACTTATTCCGACCTAAACTTTACTTCCGAACATATCCTTGTTAGATACCCAAACGTACATTTCTCCATATTTCTTTAGAAAAATTTAGAAATAAATTTAGTAAATTTGGGCTAACGATTTCGTTAATTTAGTACATTCTTAGCGTAGCGTTAATGACTGTTATCAAAAAAGTATTTGATGTTGACATTCATTAGTTCTTAGAGCAGTGTTGGCCTAGTGGCTTCAACGTGCGACTCTCATACCTGAGGTCGTAGGTTCGACCCCGGCTGTGCACCAATGGACTTTCTTTCTATGTGCGCATTTAACATTTGCTCGAACGGTGAAGGAAAACATCGTGAGGAAACCGACATGTCTTTGACCCAAAAAGTCGAAGTCGTGTGTCAGGCACTGGAGGCTGATCACCTACTTGCCTATTAGATTTAAAAATGATCATGAAACAGATTCAGAAATCTGAGGCCAAGACCTAAAAAGAGGTAGCGCCACTGATTTATTTTTTATACATTAGTTCTTACCCTAATTTATTTGTTTTCTTTTAGAACTGTTGAAATAACGACGGACGAAAGTTCCGAAGTCGAGATTCAAATAGATGAGAGGGAAGCGACGCCGTCAGCTGCAGGTATGTTATAAGTGAAGTCTTTTTAGTTCACGCATTAGTGTTCTACGGGGCTTTAGTTATATGATGATGTGTTTAACTACAACAAATTTGGTTATCAATTTGAACAATACATGTGCTCCACATAATCGCGGTGCGTGGCAAAAACTTCTTGAAATAACACTCAGTTGTGGAACGACTGACGGTCGAGGTGGAATTTTGTATTCTGCCTCGACGACCGATGATGACAGATGCAGCTATTAAAAGTTTGGAACTCCTCCGGTAAATGCGTTAGAAAATACCCTTAGAGAGAAATTAGAGAATTATCACTAAATAAATTCAAATCGTTAAACGTAAATTAATCAATAAAGCTTTTTATAAATTTTACGAGTAGGTACTTAAATGATCCTAATCCTTGGGATTGATTTGCTCCAGTTCAAACAATTTGTATAACTCAAAACTTAGCGATTAAAAAGAGTGGCGGAAAGTTTCTTGCCAGTCCTTCTTGCCCGCTCTACGCCTTTGACTTGCGAACTGGTAGTAAATGTAAATTTACAATTAATTTAACTTCTTTTTTGACGTTCATAAGTGTACTTGTTTACCTATATGAATAAAAATATTTTGAGTTTGAGTTTGGCGTTGACGATTCGAATCGCACTACGTTGAATACAGTCAAATGGAAGGAGCTGGTACTGGGAAGCTCCCGCCCAGAGTTGAGAACAGTACTCCATGGGGGGCCCGAATATACGCTTTATAGATAAGCAAGCGGCCCGGAGTAAATAATAAAAATACTAATTATTTATTTGCAAGAATATGGTACAGAAATAATATGGTGGTACAATCTAAACTTCGCATTTCTGCCACACATAATTTTACATAGAAGTTACATTACACTTCGAGTCATATTATCATTATAGTCAATACTTATATTATTTTATCACATTTTTAAAATATATTATTACGTTATCAAATTAATTTAGGAATTATAAAAGAATTTTTTTTTTCCAAAAGTGGAATATTAAGTCGATTTTTAAAAAGTATAGTAGTTGGAACATCTTTGAATGTTTTTGGTAAATTGTTATAAAACTTGATTACAATAGGTATTTTTCGCATACAATTTCAGATTAATTTTAGGCAAACCAATTTCTCCTGTCTTTCGGCAGTCCATTTCCATTGACTTAAAAATATTTATGTTTTTTTGAACGAATAATAAGGACATTTCTATAATATACATACTGAGAAGAGATACAATTTTAAGCTTCTTAAACAAAGATCAGATCGTCTCAAGATAGTTTGCTCCACAAATTGCTGTAATATTTTTTTTATCCTTAAATACATGATAAGCAGCTAATACCGTATCATGGTAAGCAGTTTTCCTTAATCGTTTTAACACATAAACGAACCTGTCTATTTTGTTCTCTAATTTTTCAATATGTGCTTGCCAATTCAAATTAATACATTTATTCACAAATAAATACGCATAAGTTAAATATATAAGTATGTTCGCAATGTAACATGTAAAGTGCAAATATCGTATGTAATAATATGCTAATTCAATTAATCAATAACGAAAAAAACAATAACTAACTTTTAAATATAATAACTGTATTACACATTGTATCTAATGTACCCGAAAATACGTATACCCATATTCTCCATTTTATTGTTTTTATATTGTAAGTCCATGTGTATCTTTGAGTTATATGAATGAATTCTGTTAGTTTTGGTCATGTTTATTTGTAGATTATTTGGTTTCGTCCAGTATTTAGTTGATGGATAAAGTGTCTTGCCTTGTTGAGCACACCAAACTTTTAGGAGGCTAACTTCTTCCAAATGACCACGTGAAAGTCATTCTATGTCAACGCCCAGTATTCCGATGCTGGCTGAAGCTTTGATGAGAGTGTCTTCGATGAGAGTAGCGACAAAGGGTATTTCGATCTTGCTTTAAATTAGCACGATATACTTGCATTACTAGTTGTGTATACTGCATTAGTATAATTGTCTATTAAATGGTTTCTTATGACGGATTTCTCTGTACTATGTAGAAGATGAAATGGTGCGTGAGAATGGCCCTATTGTATTCATATGGTTTCAATAATAACATTGTTAACAACTTTTTCATATCTATTTAAAATATTTTCCTGTTGTGTCTAGTAGATATGCAAGACTAGCTATTGTTTTGATAACCATAGTACTGATAATATTCGATGTCAGAACTCAATCACGTATGATTTTATAATAGACTAGCGACCTGCCCCACTTGGCAATTGTAACTGGGAAACCTTGAAAAATTATATACATATACTTTCTTCATGAATCATTCTAGATATTGGTGTTAAATACCGTGCAGTAGTTTATTGCGAAAGACATGTAAACGATAAACATGAACCAAATTTGTAAGTTTGTTTATTTAAAAAAGTGAATGTTGCGGCTTCTTGGAATGACAGGACTATATCGGCCGAAATCATTAGCGAATTAGATCTTCGCACGTCTCTCTCAAAAGAACGTTGTGATTGCCCCATGCGTTGTTCATATTACCTTTTTTTTTGCGATTTTAGTACTCACCATTCGCATTTTATATTTACTAAAGATTCGTCCTATTCTTTCTATACTGCATTTTTTCTTATAACAACGTCCGAAACAGTGACAATAATGAATTTAATTATGTAATTAGACGTCTTTACTTTACTTTGCAAAGCGCAACGCACTAGAGAGCGGCGTCGGCGCAGCTAAATTGCCAGCTCCGTCCATACGTAAACAAGACAGCGGCGGTGGACTGACTGGAAATATAGTCCACAGTTTTTCTTTTTTTCGAACTAGTGTGGAATCAGCTGCTGGTCTTGAGGTGTCCATGGGTTGCGGGATGGCCCCTTACGGGCTTACCGGAAGCCTGTACTGTAGACTCGTTCGTCCAATAATATAAATATAACGTGTGCAGTATGCGTTCTGTCCCACTCTAACGCGTATTGGCCGCACCTATATAACGTCATCGTGTGTTAGGCTTTTTCGTTACGGAATTTCTTGATTCGGTCGCCGCGCTCAAAGCCCGCGATAAAATCTATGCAATAGCTTAAAAAGGTTCTTATTATTTTTATTTCAGAATCAGTGCCGATTTCGGCATCCGTGGCCATAAGCGGCCAATTGCCGTCGAGTCAGGAGCTGCCTTACATTACACCGCCTTCGCCGAGACCGATCCCCGAGCCCGCAGTTCACTTTAGTGGGGATTCAACTGATTCTGCCAGTAAGCTATTAATAATACGATTCTGCGTCAGCAAAGAGCCTTTGATCATATGGATTTAGTCTGGTGAATGAACGACTTAATAAGTATTTAGTATTTATCTGAAATAAATGTGATTATATTTCTATTCGATTCTATTTGGCAGAATGTAAAGTGTTATTGAGAATAGTCTGGAAATACATGGCTTTAAAAGGCGTTATGAACGAAGAAAACTCGTAAATTATCTTTACTTTATCTAAACATCCAATATTCTGAATGATTTTTACGTCTATCACGTGACCCAAACAGTAAGACCGTTACCATTAATTAGTCGACTATGACAACATGCTTGATAGATTATATTTCTTCATCTCTCTAATTTTGTTTCATGTCTTGGAGTCGGAGACTCTTTTTGGTCGAAATATAAGGTTTTTACGTGCTTATTCAGGCATGTTCCGTCATAGGCAATTGCTGCGACGCCATCTTGCTTAGACAAGAGTTTTGGCGGGCTCTTGAAACTATGTTTAATTTGAATTTTCAAAGCCAATAGTTGATTATAAATAATTATTTATATAGGTTATAAAGTCACTAAAAAATAATCTTAAATGGTTTTTAATTTTTGGTTTGGTTGTTGATCTAGTCAAAATTCCTATTATATTGAATAGGAATCAAAACAAAGAAGTAGAAATATATAATATGTGCACTATATTATATATTTCTATTTTATATAAATAGAAAAAAAACCAAATCTGCACTACTTAACAATACCAAAAGAAAACTCTTTATAAAATTAAGGTTTCGTTATGTATATATTACTTCTTTTTTTTTTAATTTTTCGGCTGTATGAATATAAATTGTATTTTTCAGAGGGCTACACAAGTATATCAGTACGGGAGCCACTGAGTAACATTCGTGCTCAAACCATCAAACCATCTCAACCCCACTATGCCACCGTATCTGATGATTCTGGTAATCATAATTTTATTAGTACATTTCTAGCATTAAATAGTTACGTAGATGTATTATTAGTATGTAAAAAAGTTCTAGTGCGTGCGACATCATCCGGAATTACGTCATCCCAGTCTAGTTTTAATTAATTATTTAATTTAATTATTAATACTTCATTGCATACAGAAATATAATACAATTGACATACTGATGTAAACCTGATCTAAGGCTGAATTTAATCTCACGCCGACCGCACGAGCACCGTCGGCGCTGATGGTCGAGATATATGAACTTCTAGGAAGCGTTTTTGAATGATGCGTAGCTGTCAGCGCTGATGGCTGCGCGGCCGTACGCGTCGCGCGTCAGCGCCACGTAGCTGTCAGCGCTGACGATCGCTAGAGCGCCTCTGCTTTCAGTGAGCGTTGTAGTGTCGAACGGAGCGGACGTCGTCAGCGTGTACAGTCATGACTAATCGCGAAGTGGATACAGGTCAAGTTAGGTAGTACAAAGCAGCAATAACTAATACACTCCGCATTTTGGTCTTCGTCTGTACAGTAAGGCGGTCAGTACGATACTGAAACGAGCCACGCTGAGCCTCAGCGCTGATGAACTACGCGCTGATCTATGAGCGCTGACGGTGAGCGTGAGACTAAATTCAGCCTACTAAAGTCATGTTTTAATTGCTTTGTTTTGTACCATTAGCAAATAACTATAATAAGTCTTATGTATTTTTGCACTTCTGATTACCTTATCAAATTTAATTTCTTTTTGTATTATATTTCTGTACATGCAACGAAGTGTTAATAAATAAAATCAAAATAAATAATATATTATACTAAAAGGTTCAAAAGTTTACGAAAGGATTTAAATTAATAAATATTATTAAGTACGTAACACCTAATTTGGCTGTGATGGTGTGAAAGTCAGAGTATGTACGTAAGGGTATGTATGTGGGGTATACTCATATATATATATATTCTTAATATTTCTTATAAGCATATTCCGCAATAGCTTAAATAATTAATAAGCTTTTCTGTAGAAAAATATTAAAAGTTTGTTGATATTGTTTAGTAAGATATAAATATTTGAATACAATTATTATTATCAATATAGAATAGAGTTATTTAAATGTAAATTAAATATTGATTTTTTTAGACGAAATGTACGCGGCAATAGAAGAAGCGAGCGTCGGCGAAGGTTCGGACACGTACGCTCAGATTCCGGACCCGCGAACACGAAGGACCACGACTCAAGCGATTATTCAACAACCACCCTCAGATAACACACATACACACGAAGTTACTGTTCATGCAAGGTATTTATACTATGTCTAAATAGGGTGTTGGCCAAGTGAAATCTTGAAAGTGTGTCTCTCAAACCTGAGGTCGTAGGTTCGATTCCCGGCTGTGCATGAATGGAGTTTCTGCCTATGTGCCCATTTGACACTCGCTCGTACGGTACAGTAAAACATCGTGAGGAAACCGACATGCCTAAGACACAAAATAGTCATCGGCGTGTGTCAGGCATAGAAGGCCAATCAGCTACTTGCCTATTAGATTGACAAGTGATCTTGAAACAGATTTAAAATCTGAGGCCCAGACCTAAAAAGGTTGTAGCAGCACTGGATTATTTTTTGTTGTTTTTTTTTACAATATTACTAAAACTTTAATTTTAAAAAGTAATACATTTTCAGGAGAAGTGCACCACCTGAAGTCGGTGCCTCGACATCTCATAGTACACATTCTCGACAAGGTATATGTGTTTTTATAACATTATTTTCTAAACAAATTGCTTCAAAATGTAACTGGTATTTTTGAACCGACGTTAGTTTATTTGTTCTAGTTCAATATGAAATAGTTATCTTTGGTTAAGTAGAAAGTCTTGTTATGATAAGAATGATTTATTTTTATACAATAAAAACATTTCCAGCATCAATGTCGTCATGTTCGAACTCCGCGGGTGCGTTAGGATCTCCGAAGCCAGAGAAGCGTCAGGCAAACTCACCTTTACCTCCACCGCCGCAAGCGCACGATCCCAAACATCACCGGATAAATAGTGCCAGTAATATATCTTCTTTATTAACAAAATGGTCTATTTTGGTATATTTCTAGACTGAGAGGCTCTTGTTCGTAAAATAAGTATTTTCAATCTCTTAGAAATGTGTTAGCGATTCATAAATAGTAAGGCCCGTAGAATGTCTATCAAACTTAAATCTTGTTTAAAAAGCTGTCAAAACATTTTTTCTGTATAAAGTTTAACATGTTTGTCAGAGATACGTTTGAGAATATGTACCTTTTATAATACAATATAATATACATAAATACAAGTAAAAGATAAATTAATTAACATTCATCAATCCATCTTCATCGTCATTAAGGACTTTTAACTTTATTTTCACGTCAATAACCTATTTGCAGGTGATCTCCACTTCAATCATGATAAACTCAGGCGAAGTCTTAACGAAAAGCACCAACGAAACAACAGCTGTGTCAGTTCCTCGGACTTCTACGGCTGCAACTATCCCGTTGAAAAACACCGGTTTAGTTCCGGGGACTTGATAAGACCCCTCGTCGCTAAAGAACTCAATTTTGACATTGATCAAAAGGAACAAGCGGATAATCTGTACAATTCCATCGAAGGACCAAATCTGAGCGACTACTCTTCCGCCGACGCTAATACTAGTATAAACTCGGAGCGGGCCACGGAAAGCCCTTCCAGAAACGTCGAAGAAATGTACGCAAAGGTGATAAAGAAAGCTAAAACGAAAGAAGAGACAAAAAAACTCAAAGACTCCAATGAAGAGAAATTGAAGTTTCGCGGGGACGATCCCGGATACGAGACTATAGATCGAAAACAATCCGTTCACGGATACGAAACGATATCAAGGAAACGGAAGAGCCAGAACCAAGATCCCGGCTACGAAACGGTAAAAGAAATGCACATCGGACAAAACTTCACCAACAATAACCTCAAACACTTGGAGTCCGACAGTGGACCGAATAGCATCATCAGCAATGACGCCGGCTACGAGCTGATAGCCAAAACAGACAACAATGCGTCGGACTCCGACCCGAACTACGAAGTTTTAAGGAATAACCCACCGACCCCGCCATACGCGACCATAAGTTCCAATTACAAAGTACAAGCGACGTATTCCACAGTGAACAAACGAACGGGCAAATACAGCAGTCTGCCAAACAATAACGAACCGAGTGTCGAGCCTAACTACGAGTCCATGACGAATGACCCGATATACACGACTGGGAGCGAATCGGACCCCAACTACGAGTCGGTGAGGCCTAAAGAGCCGAATTACGAAAGCGTAAACGCCCAAGACCCGAATTACGAGTCTCTCAGGGGAAAAGACCCAAAATATGAATCGGTCCGGTCGAAAAACTCCAGACACGACTCGGTCCGGTCCAAAAACGATCCTAACTACGAAAGTGTGAAATATTTTGAGCTTTCGAAGAAGGAGCCGCCTTACGAGAAGGTCGATATGGGTGAGAATTCTGGCATCGAAAGGTCCGATTCCTCTGCGGGTTACGAGAGGATAAATATATCGAACAATAGGGAACCGAAGAGTATTAACAATAGTGATTGCACCGTGAGTGATTACTTCCAAGTTTAATACCAAAATTTAGTATTTTTGAACATTTACCTGTGTAATTTGAGATTGCTTTTATTTATTCATGCGAATTTTGAATATTACAATTAAGAATGTCGTTGACGATATTGTTAATTAGCCGGTTAGAACGAATTGTAGGTAAACGGAGGAGTAATCTGAGAAGTGGTAACAGTTTTATTCATTGACGGGTTGAGTTCCTATATTCATTTTATTAAAAAGCGGCCTCGTTATAGATGAAAAATTGAACATTAATCTAATTTTGAATATAGAATGTCGCGTCAGGAAACAATAAGTCTTATGAAGTACGCCATAAAGATTAATTTCCTTTAAAGTCCTATTAAACAGGTCATGAATTTGAAGGTTGTATTTGTATATAATTTAACGATAAATAATAAAATTAATATATGAACCACCCAAATATATGTATTAAATACAGTCACAATAATTTGGAATGGAAATAACATTCCAATAGAAAATTCCTAGCGAAACCCGTATAGGTGACAGACCGACTTAACAATCCTATTCCTTATATATCTGTGATATGTATTGTAACACAATTTTTCATTCACCCGAAAGAAATTGGAAACATTTTAAAATTTTGTAATCTCCATTTTTGTGTGTTCGTAATTTTAACACCAACTTTTTTATAATTGTACAACGCGATTGTAAATACCGCTATTTATTAGTATATAGACTATATTTAGTAAGACACATAGTGTCCGTAAGTCTGTCCAGTCATACCCACATTAGCAATAATCAAATATGTAATGCGCATACGACAAACTTTATGGCATTTCTAAATATTCCAAAAGAACACTAAAATACACCAAGGGATGTCATGTCTTTATATAGATAACGTTAAATATAATATAGATATTTTTAATTAAAGCATAGAATGCTATTCTTTAAAAAAGTTTCACTTTGAATTAATAATCTTCTTCGTTCTTTTGAAGTCGGACAAAAATTAATAAAAGACTCGATCCTTTTTCTCCGCACGTTGTGATGGTTTTTTTTTATATTTGCCTAACCTTGGAGTTGGTGCTGCCCTACCACAAGAGCCTTCAGTGATTTTATATCTACTCAACATCGGCTTGGGCTAATATTTAATGTTATATTTAACTAATAGTGTGCTAAAACGTCTGAATACGGTTTAGTAACAATTTTTTTAAATAATATGAAGACATCTTGTCTGCGAAGACTTGTCAACCAATAAACCTTTTTTAATACTTTCAATTAAGGTAAAATAACAGTAAAATTTAGATGGTAGAAATCGTCAAAAGTTTTACGCGCTTCAAAGACCTTTAAATCTTACTTTCACAGAACATAAGAAAATTATATTTGACCTGGCTGAGCTGAACTTTACCGATCAACTCCTGCCAAGAACTCTATTGCCATTTAAAAAAAAAAATGATTTTTAAATATTCAACTTTTTAATTCAATACAGCCTTGGTAATTTTAATCTTATTCACACTGTTCCCTAAGCCCATAGTGTCGTCACATAAACGTTTGCACGTACTCAATACATTAATGTCACTGAACACTACTTCTAATCGTGCGTTAAGGGGCTAAAGTTACTAGCGAGATGACATTCCAAAAAAAACTTTGCGATTATAAAACGATTGTATTACCAGAAGTAACGTCGTCTTTTATTTCTTAATTTTTACTATTTCAATACAAATCCATAAAGTTTGTCACGTTATTGTAATAGTGCCTTGTAGACGCACAAAATGATTCTTGCATTTGGTATGGTCATTCCCAATTCTCTTAATGCAATTATAAGTATTATTCGCAATGGTGATTCTAATATATTTTCTAGTTAAGTTTTGTTTTAAGAATGTTATGTTTGTTACTTTTTATAACTTGAAAGTTGAGTGTTTCCTTTATTGCCAATAAGTGCATAATTATAGTACAGTACCTGAGAGAATTATTAAGAACTGATTGTGCTAAATAGGTACATTATAGTCTATAGGTACTTAGGAATCACACAGTACATTTTACAACTTTGAGTTGTTTTTTTTCAGACTTAAACATAATTTAATGCTGTATGTCACAATAGTTATATATAAAGCAACATAAACTTAATAGTGACTATTCTTATAAGTTTAACTAATCAATTCTGTACTTATGTCATATTTATAATAATGTAATCATTCCAAAATATTACACAAAACAATGTCATTAACACATATTATCAAAATACAAGTATAAATGCCATATTCTATAAATTGTCTTTTCTTTAAAAAATCCTCGCTAACTAACAATTTACACTTGTATGTATGACTATGTAGACGGATTTTTTAAAAATAAGTAAGTATTTTTATGTAGGACGTATTAGGCCGGGAGATAGTGACACAAAATAGTGGGTGATTTGTAAGTCCAGTAAGGCGGTTCTTCAGGGGTCTTATATTACGCAATCAAAAAAAAAAAAATGATTGTCGTACCTCCCACAGGTATGGCATTATCAGACTTCTATTTATGATCATACAGGAATGTTGAAAAAAAATTTTTAGGCTGGTACGAATCGTTTGGCAAAAACGTTAGTCGAACTCGTCGGATTAAATACGAAAGTCAAACGATTTGTTTCACAAAAATTCTAGTATTTTCCGATAGTCCATAAAAAAATAAGAGGTGGTAGTCATGCTATACTTCTCCGGTGTGACTTACAGCCCGCCATACCGAAGCGAATGCGTTAATTTAAAAAAAAACAACCGTTTGTACCAGGCTAATTTTTGCACAGTTAATCATCGTCGTGCAGCCATTCACGAAAATCACCATGCCATACTTTTCGGACGGTTCCAAATGGCCGCCATAGCGCCGAATTTTTTTCGCCACCTCCCACAGGTATGGCATTATCAGACTTCTATTTATGATCATACAGGAATGTTGAAAAAAAATTTTTAGGCTGGTACGAATCGTTTGGCAAAAGTCTAATAATACAAATTTTGTTTTTGACTTTCTACATACACTACTGTTAAGGCATCTTGACTGAGGCTGTTGAAACGGGTCAGTCACTAGCTTATTTAAGATTTTGTTGGTTCCGGGGTCCGCGGAAAGCCTTAATGAAGCTTATTAAGCATAAGCTAGGTTAGCCTGTAATTAAGTCTGCACCTATGCAGACTAATCTGTTGGTGGACCTGTATTACATAATGGACTAATAAGCCACTAAGATTTAGAGTCCCCCAGAGACTCTACGGAATCTACGAGACTCTTAAATCGGGCTAAGTTTTAAAATACGTAAAACCACCTTGGGAACTTGTCGCAGGCATACTTAATGTGCTGGTATATTGGTAAAGACAAGTTGAATATGTGAGTTAAATACGTGGAGCTATCCGAACCAATTAGGTGAGCGTCTGGGAGTTAAAATTTTTGTTCTGTGTTTAAGAAAAAGTCACGAACAAAACTATAATTGTGGACAGCGTCTTCGGCCTATGAGATCAAAAACTTATTCCGACCTAAACTTTACTTCCGAACATATCCTTGTTAGATACCCAAACGTACATTTCTCCATATTTCTTTAGAAAAATTTAGAAATAAATTTAGTAAATTTGGGCTAACGATTTCGTTAATTTAGTACATTCTTAGCGTAGCGTTAATGACTGTTATCAAAAAAGTATTTGATGTTGACATTCATTAGTTCTTAGAGCAGTGTTGGCCTAGTGGCTTCAACGTGCGACTCTCATACCTGAGGTCGTAGGTTCGACCCCGGCTGTGCACCAATGGACTTTCTTTCTATGTGCGCATTTAACATTTGCTCGAACGGTGAAGGAAAACATCGTGAGGAAACCGACATGTCTTTGACCCAAAAAGTCGAAGTCGTGTGTCAGGCACTGGAGGCTGATCACCTACTTGCCTATTAGATTTAAAAATGATCATGAAACAGATTCAGAAATCTGAGGCCAAGACCTAAAAAGAGGTAGCGCCACTGATTTATTTTTTATACATTAGTTCTTACCCTAATTTATTTGTTTTCTTTTAGAACTGTTGAAATAACGACGGACGAAAGTTCCGAAGTCGAGATTCAAATAGATGAGAGGGAAGCGACGCCGTCAGCTGCAGGTATGTTATAAGTGAAGTCTTTTTAGTTCACGCATTAGTGTTCTACGGGGCTTTAGTTATATGATGATGTGTTTAACTACAACAAATTTGGTTATCAATTTGAACAATACATGTGCTCCACATAATCGCGGTGCGTGGCAAAAACTTCTTGAAATAACACTCAGTTGTGGAACGACTGACGGTCGAGGTGGAATTTTGTATTCTGCCTCGACGACCGATGATGACAGATGCAGCTATTAAAAGTTTGGAACTCCTCCGGTAAATGCGTTAGAAAATACCCTTAGAGAGAAATTAGAGAATTATCACTAAATAAATTCAAATCGTTAAACGTAAATTAATCAATAAAGCTTTTTATAAATTTTACGAGTAGGTACTTAAATGATCCTAATCCTTGGGATTGATTTGCTCCAGTTCAAACAATTTGTATAACTCAAAACTTAGCGATTAAAAAGAGTGGCGGAAAGTTTCTTGCCAGTCCTTCTTGCCCGCTCTACGCCTTTGACTTGCGAACTGGTAGTAAATGTAAATTTACAATTAATTTAACTTCTTTTTTGACGTTCATAAGTGTACTTGTTTACCTATATGAATAAAAATATTTTGAGTTTGAGTTTGGCGTTGACGATTCGAATCGCACTACGTTGAATACAGTCAAATGGAAGGAGCTGGTACTGGGAAGCTCCCGCCCAGAGTTGAGAACAGTACTCCATGGGGGCCCGAATATACGCTTTATAGATAAGCAAGCGGCCCGGAGTAAATAATAAAAATACTAATTATTTATTTGCAAGAATATGGTACAGAAATAATATGGTGGTACAATCTAAACTTCGCATTTCTGCCACACATAATTTTACATAGAAGTTACATTACACTTCGAGTCATATTATCATTATAGTCAATACTTATATTATTTTATCACATTTTTAAAATATATTATTACGTTATCAAATTAATTTAGGAATTATAAAAGAATTTTTTTTTTCCAAAAGTGGAATATTAAGTCGATTTTTAAAAAGTATAGTAGTTGGAACATCTTTGAATGTTTTTGGTAAATTGTTATAAAACTTGATTACAATAGGTATTTTTCGCATACAATTTCAGATTAATTTTAGGCAAACCAATTTCTCCTGTCTTTCGGCAGTCCATTTCCATTGACTTAAAAATATTTATGTTTTTTTGAACGAATAATAAGGACATTTCTATAATATACATACTGAGAAGAGATACAATTTTAAGCTTCTTAAACAAAGATCAGATCGTCTCAAGATAGTTTGCTCCACAAATTGCTGTAATATTTTTTTTATCCTTAAATACATGATAAGCAGCTAATACCGTATCATGGTAAGCAGTTTTCCTTAATCGTTTTAACACATAAACGAACCTGTCTATTTTGTTCTCTAATTTTTCAATATGTGCTTGCCAATTCAAATTAATACATTTATTCACAAATAAATACGCATAAGTTAAATATATAAGTATGTTCGCAATGTAACATGTAAAGTGCAAATATCGTATGTAATAATATGCTAATTCAATTAATCAATAACGAAAAAAACAATAACTAACTTTTAAATATAATAACTGTATTACACATTGTATCTAATGTACCCGAAAATACGTATACCCATATTCTCCATTTTATTGTTTTTATATTGTAAGTCCATGTGTATCTTTGAGTTATATGAATGAATTCTGTTAGTTTTGGTCATGTTTATTTGTAGATTATTTGGTTTCGTCCAGTATTTAGTTGATGGATAAAGTGTCTTGCCTTGTTGAGCACACCAAACTTTTAGGAGGCTAACTTCTTCCAAATGACCACGTGAAAGTCATTCTATGTCAACGCCCAGTATTCCGATGCTGGCTGAAGCTTTGATGAGAGTGTCTTCGATGAGAGTAGCGACAAAGGGTATTTCGATCTTGCTTTAAATTAGCACGATATACTTGCATTACTAGTTGTGTATACTGCATTAGTATAATTGTCTATTAAATGGTTTCTTATGACGGATTTCTCTGTACTATGTAGAAGATGAAATGGTGCGTGAGAATGGCCCTATTGTATTCATATGGTTTCAATAATAACATTGTTAACAACTTTTTCATATCTATTTAAAATATTTTCCTGTTGTGTCTAGTAGATATGCAAGACTAGCTATTGTTTTGATAACCATAGTACTGATAATATTCGATGTCAGAACTCAATCACGTATGATTTTATAATAGACTAGCGACCTGCCCCACTTGGCAATTGTAACTGGGAAACCTTGAAAAATTATATACATATACTTTCTTCATGAATCATTCTAGATATTGGTGTTAAATACCGTGCAGTAGTTTATTGCGAAAGACATGTAAACGATAAACATGAACCAAATTTGTAAGTTTGTTTATTTAAAAAAGTGAATGTTGCGGCTTCTTGGAATGACAGGACTATATCGGCCGAAATCATTAGCGAATTAGATCTTCGCACGTCTCTCTCAAAAGAACGTTGTGATTGCCCCATGCGTTGTTCATATTACCTTTTTTTTTGCGATTTTAGTACTCACCATTCGCATTTTATATTTACTAAAGATTCGTCCTATTCTTTCTATACTGCATTTTTTCTTATAACAACGTCCGAAACAGTGACAATAATGAATTTAATTATGTAATTAGACGTCTTTACTTTACTTTGCAAAGCGCAACGCACTAGAGAGCGGCGTCGGCGCAGCTAAATTGCCAGCTCCGTCCATACGTAAACAAGACAGCGGCGGTGGACTGACTGGAAATATAGTCCACAGTTTTTCTTTTTTTCGAACTAGTGTGGAATCAGCTGCTGGTCTTGAGGTGTCCATGGGTTGCGGGATGGCCCCTTACGGGCTTACCGGAAGCCTGTACTGTAGACTCGTTCGTCCAATAATATAAATATAACGTGTGCAGTATGCGTTCTGTCCCACTCTAACGCGTATTGGCCGCACCTATATAACGTCATCGTGTGTTAGGCTTTTTTCGTTACGGAATTTCTTGATTCGGTCGCCGCGCTCAAAGCCCGCGATAAAATCTATGCAATAGCTTAAAAGGTTCTTATTATTTTTATTTCAGAATCAGTGCCGATTTCGGCATCCGTGGCCATAAGCGGCCAATTGCCGTCGAGTCAGGAGCTGCCTTACATTACACCGCCTTCGCCGAGACCGATCCCCGAGCCCGCAGTTCACTTTAGTGGGGATTCAACTGATTCTGCCAGTAAGCTATTAATAATACGATTCTGCGTCAGCAAAGAGCCTTTGATCATATGGATTTAGTCTGGTGAATGAACGACTTAATAAGTATTTAGTATTTATCTGAAATAAATGTGATTATATTTCTATTCGATTCTATTTGGCAGAATGTAAAGTGTTATTGAGAATAGTCTGGAAATACATGGCTTTAAAAGGCGTTATGAACGAAGAAAACTCGTAAATTATCTTTACTTTATCTAAACATCCAATATTCTGAATGATTTTTACGTCTATCACGTGACCCAAACAGTAAGACCGTTACCATTAATTAGTCGACTATGACAACATGCTTGATAGATTATATTTCTTCATCTCTCTAATTTTGTTTCATGTCTTGGAGTCGGAGACTCTTTTTGGTCGAAATATAAGGTTTTTACGTGCTTGTTCAGGCATGTTCCGTCATAGGCAATTGCTGCGACGCCATCTTGCTTAGACAAGAGTTTTGGCGGGCTCTTGAAACTATGTTTAATTTGAATTTTCAAAGCCAATAGTTGATTATAAATAATTATTTATATAGGTTATAAAGTCACTAAAAAATAATCTTAAATGGTTTTTAATTTTTGGTTTGGTTGTTGATCTAGTCAAAATTCCTATTATATTGAATAGGAATCAAAACAAAGAAGTAGAAATATATAATATGTGCACTATATTATATATTTCTATTTTATATAAATAGAAAAAAACCAAATCTGCACTACTTAACAATACCAAAAGAAAACTCTTTATAAAATTAAGGTTTCGTTATGTATATATTACTTCTTTTTTTTTTAATTTTTCGGCTGTATGAATATAAATTGTATTTTTCAGAGGGCTACACAAGTATATCAGTACGGGAGCCACTGAGTAACATTCGTGCTCAAACCATCAAACCATCTCAACCCCACTATGCCACCGTATCTGATGATTCTGGTAATCATAATTTTATTAGTACATTTCTAGCATTAAATAGTTACGTAGATGTATTATTAGTATGTAAAAAAGTTCTAGTGCGTGCGACATCATCCGGAATTACGTCATCCCAGTCTAGTTTTAATTAATTATTTAATTTAATTATTAATACTTCATTGCATACAGAAATATAATACAATTGACATACTGATGTAAACCTGATCTAAGGCTGAATTTAATCTCACGCCGACCGCACGAGCACCGTCGGCGCTGATGGTCGAGATATATGAACTTCTAGGAAGCGTTTTTGAATGATGCGTAGCTGTCAGCGCTGATGGCTGCGCGGCCGTACGCGTCGCGCGTCAGCGCCACGTAGCTGTCAGCGCTGACGATCGCTAGAGCGCCTCTGCTTTCAGTGAGCGTTGTAGTGTCGAACGGAGCGGACGTCGTCAGCGTGTACAGTCATGACTAATCGCGAAGTGGATACAGGTCAAGTTAGGTAGTACAAAGCAGCAATAACTAATACACTCCGCATTTTGGTCTTCGTCTGTACAGTAAGGCGGTCAGTACGATACTGAAACGAGCCACGCTGAGCCTCAGCGCTGATGAACTACGCGCTGATCTATGAGCGCTGACGGTGAGCGTGAGACTAAATTCAGCCTACTAAAGTCATGTTTTAATTGCTTTGTTTTGTACCATTAGCAAATAACTATAATAAGTCTTATGTATTTTTGCACTTCTGATTACCTTATCAAATTTAATTTCTTTTTGTATTATATTTCTGTACATGCAACGAAGTGTTAATAAATAAAATCAAAATAAATAATATATTATACTAAAAGGTTCAAAAGTTTACGAAAGGATTTAAATTAATAAATATTATTAAGTACGTAACACCTAATTTGGCTGTGATGGTGTGAAAGTCAGAGTATGTACGTAAGGGTATGTATGTGGGGTATACTCATATATATATATATTCTTAATATTTCTTATAAGCATATTCCGCAATAGCTTAAATAATTAATAAGCTTTTCTGTAGAAAAAATATTAAAAGTTTGTTGATATTGTTTAGTAAGATATAAATATTTGAATACAATTATTATTATCAATATAGAATAGAGTTATTTAAATGTAAATTAAATATTGATTTTTTTAGACGAAATGTACGCGGCAATAGAAGAAGCGAGCGTCGGCGAAGGTTCGGACACGTACGCTCAGATTCCGGACCCGCGAACACGAAGGACCACGACTCAAGCGATTATTCAACAACCACCCTCAGATAACACACATACACACGAAGTTACTGTTCATGCAAGGTATTTATACTATGTCTAAATAGGGTGTTGGCCAAGTGAAATCTTGAAAGTGTGTCTCTCAAACCTGAGGTCGTAGGTTCGATTCCCGGCTGTGCATGAATGGAGTTTCTGCCTATGTGCCCATTTGACACTCGCTCGTACGGTACAGTAAAACATCGTGAGGAAACCGACATGCCTAAGACACAAAATAGTCATCGGCGTGTGTCAGGCATAGAAGGCCAATCAGCTACTTGCCTATTAGATTGACAAGTGATCTTGAAACAGATTTAAAATCTGAGGCCCAGACCTAAAAAGGTTGTAGCAGCACTGGATTATTTTTTGTTGTTTTTTTTTACAATATTACTAAAACTTTAATTTTAAAAAGTAATACATTTTCAGGAGAAGTGCACCACCTGAAGTCGGTGCCTCGACATCTCATAGTACACATTCTCGACAAGGTATATGTGTTTTTATAACATTATTTTCTAAACAAATTGCTTCAAAATGTAACTGGTATTTTTGAACCGACGTTAGTTTATTTGTTCTAGTTCAATATGAAATAGTTATCTTTGGTTAAGTAGAAAGTCTTGTTATGATAAGAATGATTTATTTTTATACAATAAAAACATTTCCAGCATCAATGTCGTCATGTTCGAACTCCGCGGGTGCGTTAGGATCTCCGAAGCCAGAGAAGCGTCAGGCAAACTCACCTTTACCTCCACCGCCGCAAGCGCACGATCCCAAACATCACCGGATAAATAGTGCCAGTAATATATCTTCTTTATTAACAAAATGGTCTATTTTGGTATATTTCTAGACTGAGAGGCTCTTGTTCGTAAAATAAGTATTTTCAATCTCTTAGAAATGTGTTAGCGATTCATAAATAGTAAGGCCCGTAGAATGTCTATCAAACTTAAATCTTGTTTAAAAAGCTGTCAAAACATTTTTTCTGTATAAAGTTTAACATGTTTGTCAGAGATACGTTTGAGAATATGTACCTTTTATAATACAATATAATATACATAAATACAAGTAAAAGATAAATTAATTAACATTCATCAATCCATCTTCATCGTCATTAAGGACTTTTAACTTTATTTTCACGTCAATAACCTATTTGCAGGTGATCTCCACTTCAATCATGATAAACTCAGGCGAAGTCTTAACGAAAAGCACCAACGAAACAACAGCTGTGTCAGTTCCTCGGACTTCTACGGCTGCAACTATCCCGTTGAAAAACACCGGTTTAGTTCCGGGGACTTGATAAGACCCCTCGTCGCTAAAGAACTCAATTTTGACATTGATCAAAAGGAACAAGCGGATAATCTGTACAATTCCATCGAAGGACCAAATCTGAGCGACTACTCTTCCGCCGACGCTAATACTAGTATAAACTCGGAGCGGGCCACGGAAAGCCCTTCCAGAAACGTCGAAGAAATGTACGCAAAGGTGATAAAGAAAGCTAAAACGAAAGAAGAGACAAAAAAACTCAAAGACTCCAATGAAGAGAAATTGAAGTTTCGCGGGGACGATCCCGGATACGAGACTATAGATCGAAAACAATCCGTTCACGGATACGAAACGATATCAAGGAAACGGAAGAGCCAGAACCAAGATCCCGGCTACGAAACGGTAAAAGAAATGCACATCGGACAAAACTTCACCAACAATAACCTCAAACACTTGGAGTCCGACAGTGGACCGAATAGCATCATCAGCAATGACGCCGGCTACGAGCTGATAGCCAAAACAGACAACAATGCGTCGGACTCCGACCCGAACTACGAAGTTTTAAGGAATAACCCACCGACCCCGCCATACGCGACCATAAGTTCCAATTACAAAGTACAAGCGACGTATTCCACAGTGAACAAACGAACGGGCAAATACAGCAGTCTGCCAAACAATAACGAACCGAGTGTCGAGCCTAACTACGAGTCCATGACGAATGACCCGATATACACGACTGGGAGCGAATCGGACCCCAACTACGAGTCGGTGAGGCCTAAAGAGCCGAATTACGAAAGCGTAAACGCCCAAGACCCGAATTACGAGTCTCTCAGGGGAAAAGACCCAAAATATGAATCGGTCCGGTCGAAAAACTCCAGACACGACTCGGTCCGGTCCAAAAACGATCCTAACTACGAAAGTGTGAAATATTTTGAGCTTTCGAAGAAGGAGCCGCCTTACGAGAAGGTCGATATGGGTGAGAATTCTGGCATCGAAAGGTCCGATTCCTCTGCGGGTTACGAGAGGATAAATATATCGAACAATAGGGAACCGAAGAGTATTAACAATAGTGATTGCACCGTGAGTGATTACTTCCAAGTTTAATACCAAAATTTAGTATTTTTGAACATTTACCTGTGTAATTTGAGATTGCTTTTATTTATTCATGCGAATTTTGAATATTACAATTAAGAATGTCGTTGACGATATTGTTAATTAGCCGGTTAGAACGAATTGTAGGTAAACGGAGGAGTAATCTGAGAAGTGGTAACAGTTTTATTCATTGACGGGTTGAGTTCCTATATTCATTTTATTAAAAAGCGGCCTCGTTATAGATGAAAAATTGAACATTAATCTAATTTTGAATATAGAATGTCGCGTCAGGAAACAATAAGTCTTATGAAGTACGCCATAAAGATTAATTTCCTTTAAAGTCCTATTAAACAGGTCATGAATTTGAAGGTTGTATTTGTATATAATTTAACGATAAATAATAAAATTAATATATGAACCACCCAAATATATGTATTAAATACAGTCACAATAATTTGGAATGGAAATAACATTCCAATAGAAAATTCCTAGCGAAACCCGTATAGGTGACAGACCGACTTAACAATCCTATTCCTTATATATCTGTGATATGTATTGTAACACAATTTTTCATTCACCCGAAAGAAATTGGAAACATTTTAAAATTTTGTAATCTCCATTTTTGTGTGTTCGTAATTTTAACACCAACTTTTTTATAATTGTACAACGCGATTGTAAATACCGCTATTTATTAGTATATAGACTATATTTAGTAAGACACATAGTGTCCGTAAGTCTGTCCAGTCATACCCACATTAGCAATAATCAAATATGTAATGCGCATACGACAAACTTTATGGCATTTCTAAATATTCCAAAAGAACACTAAAATACACCAAGGGATGTCATGTCTTTATATAGATAACGTTAAATATAATATAGATATTTTTAATTAAAGCATAGAATGCTATTCTTTAAAAAAGTTTCACTTTGAATTAATAATCTTCTTCGTTCTTTTGAAGTCGGACAAAAATTAATAAAAGACTCGATCCTTTTTCTCCGCACGTTGTGATGGTTTTTTTTATATTTGCCTAACCTTGGAGTTGGTGCTGCCCTACCACAAGAGCCTTCAGTGATTTTATATCTACTCAACATCGGCTTGGGCTAATATTTAATGTTATATTTAACTAATAGTGTGCTAAAACGTCTGAATACGGTTTAGTAACAATTTTTTTAAATAATATGAAGACATCTTGTCTGCGAAGACTTGTCAACCAATAAACCTTTTTTAATACTTTCAATTAAGGTAAAATAACAGTAAAATTTAGATGGTAGAAATCGTCAAAAGTTTTACGCGCTTCAAAGACCTTTAAATCTTACTTTCACAGAACATAAGAAAATTATATTTGACCTGGCTGAGCTGAACTTTACCGATCAACTCCTGCCAAGAACTCTATTGCCATTTAAAAAAAAAATGATTTTTAAATATTCAACTTTTTAATTCAATACAGCCTTGGTAATTTTAATCTTATTCACACTGTACCCTAAGCCCATAGTGTCGTCACATAAACGTTTGCACGTACTCAATACAT